CTTCTTGGTCAAATTGTTCAAAATCATCAGCCATTAAGCACAAGTTTGGTTTCTCTTCTTCAAGTTCAGTCTCGGATGAGTCAGAAGCATACTCCGCCCAGAAAGCTTTTGGGTTCGCTTCTTTTCTTTTCTGAGCTTAGGTTTCTCCCATTTTTTTCTTTGCTTGTGTGATCCTGAATTGTAGGATAATCAGATCTGACATGTCTAGGCTTCATGCATTCAAAACAAATAACATCAGAAGAACCTTTAATATTTTTTTATCCTTACCTTTTCTCCAATTTTGATGATGCTTGTGACTCTTCCTTTGAAAGTTCTTAAATTGCCTTGTGATTAAGGAAATATCATCAATTTTTAGACCCGGAAGAATCAGAGTCCGTGTTGTTGGCTTTAAGTGCCACCGTTTTCTCCTTTTTCCTCTCACCTGCATCAAGATTTCTTTGGTTTACCCCTTGCTCGTAAGCAATGAGTGAGCCAAGTTAGTTATCAATTAAATAAGTATTCAAATCTTTAGACTGAGAAATTGTAGTGATTTTAGCATCAAAAGAGGAAGGCAAACATCTTAAAATTTTGTTCACTTTTTTCATAGTTAAAAAGTTCTCTTCCTAAGGCATGCAAAGAAGTAACAATCCGAGTAAATCTCGTATACATATCAGAAATTGATTCGTGAGGTTTCATATGAAAAACTTTGTAATCATGTAAAAGAATGTTCTAATGAGATTGCTTTACTTCATTAGTACCTTCATAGGTGACACATAGTTTATCCCAAATTTCTTTACCAATAGTGCAAGTGGAAACACGCATATAATCTTCCGATTTCAAAGTACAGAAAAAATAGTTCAAACATTTTATATTTAATTGTGCTAAATCCCTATCATCTAGATTCCATTCAGTAAAAGGAAGTGGAACAGTAAGGCCAATCAATTTTCCAGTTAGAGGTGTATAACCATCCTTAACAAGCATCCACATGCGATAATCAATTGATTGCAAAAATGTTGAGAGGCGAGTTTTCCAAAAATTAAAAGGGATGTTATCAAACAAAGGTGGTCGGGTAATAGAATACACTTCCACAGTATTATGATTTTCATTGTTAGCCATGGATCAAAATTTAAAAATTTTCAAACTTAGTTTTTATGAATTCCACTCTAATACCACTTGAAAGTTCATTAGGGATATTAAGCCCTTAAGAACTAGCCCGAGGCTAACCAAGAGGGGGGTGAATTGGTATTTTAAAATTTTCTTTTAGCAAAACGCAACAAAACTTGAAACTAAATCACCACAAAAATCAAGGTGCAAAAATAAATAAATGTGGAAGGAAAAATAAAGAAAGATCACACCGGATTTATAGTGGTTCAGTCAATCCTTGACCTACGTCCACTCCTCGGAGGCACCCTCCGAGTATTGCACTAACTAAGTGTCTATGTTTTAGCTCCCACAGCTAGACTAAGAAGCCTATACAAATGACTCCTTTCACCAACCACGGTGCGACAGAGAACCGACTCCTTTTGCTTCCTCCTGAAGCAGGCAGAGAACCCAGACCTTTGCTGAAGTAGACCTCCCAAGAACCTCCCAAGGATGAAGATTGAAGAACGGAGATGATGACTTGGAACCTTGCTTAGAGAAACCTTTGTGAACCCTCTCACAAACTCCCCCTCACAAGTTTCTCTCTCTCTCTCCCTCTCCCTCTCTCGAGGCTCTCTTAGGTCAAGACAACAGCACTCAAGGTCTTAAGCATGAGAAAATTTGAGTCCTTTAAATAGAATTTCAAGAACCAACTTTATCATCCAGGCTTATATAAATATCATCCTAGCTGATCAGTACAAAATAAGCTCAATCAGCTAGGATGATTCAGGATGATCAGAAGAAAATTGATTACATCGTCCAGGCTGATACAATATCATCCTAGACGATTAGTCAAATATGAGTACAATCGTCCTGAACATCACCCTGAATAGAGTCTAGCCGATGTCAATCATCCAAAACATCGTTCTGGCTGATTTTCCAATCAGCCCGGCTAATGTGATCATATCAATCCGCCTTAATTGCTTTCCATAATTACCAGTTAATTTTGGCATAACTGTGCTATATCGTCCAGGCTGATATAGAGATCATATGGGACAATAATTTAAAATAAAGAATACCTAAATTGATCATGGGAGCTGATTCTTTTTAATTTGAGCCTATCGTCCAGGACAATTTGCTTAATGACAGCTGCTTAATAAGAATGTCTTATTTAGGGTTTATATTTTTAGTTGAATTGTCCTGACCGATAGGAAAATCATCCAAGCCGATGAACTCAAAATAGAAAAATTCATAAAACCCCTCAAGTGTGTGTGTGCAAGGTTACTTAGCATCAGGAACCACTTTTATAATTGACTCAAGAAAGGAAAAAGTACAGACTTGACTCAACCTAAATCTACCCGATCTTGAGCTGTCTTGAACTGTATTCGATCTTGTGGTCCTGAAAAGTTAGTAGGGGTTGCTCTTCGTGTGTTCGATTCGTGACTTCTTATAGAAAAACACGCCTGGCATCCGAGGTGATTCTTAGGTGATTCTAGGGTTGCTCTTCGTGCGTTCGGTTCGTGACTTCCAGCTTGGCTTCCTGTGGTTTTTTCCTCTCATTTCTTCAGTAGTTTTGCTCTGGTGCTTCGGGTTTTTGTTTGGCATTGTTGGGCTCCATGTGTACTCTCATTTTTCTATGATTTTTATGTGAACCTTTTGGTTTCTTTCATTCTTTTTTCGTGTTTTCTATGTTTCTTTGGTTGCGTTTGACCTTCCATTTTATTTTTCTCATCGGTCTTCAAATTTCTGGGGGATGATGACCCCGTCGTTATCTTACCCTCCTATACCTGCTATTCTGAAGGGCAAATACTGCTCTTTCAAGGATGTGCTTGCTGGATCTTATACTTCTCCCCCTCCCTTTTAATTCATCTAAACTTCATTTATGGGTTGTTCGGTCTTAATATTTGATGACTCGGTTGTGTCCCAATTAGCTGCCCCCTTTGCTCTTACTCTTGTTGGAAAATTTGTTCTAAGACATCCTAATCTTGATATTTTTCACAAGTTTTTTGTAATTTGAAGCTCTCTAGTTCATTTCATATTAGATTACTTGACCCACGTCATGTGGCTATCCAACTGACTAACGATTTGGATTACAGCTGAATTTTTTTGATGAGATCTTATTACATTCAGGCTTGTCAAATGAGACTCCTTAAATGGACTCTTAACTTTGATGTCTGCGAGGAATCGCCTATTGCTCCTTTTTGGGCCTCATTTTTTTAATTCTCAAGAGCTCTTTCGGCTTGACTCCATTCTTGGTGGGCCTTTGCAAATAGACCAAGCCACAGCTTCTATCTCAAGGTCATCTGTGGCTCTTGTTTTGGTTGAATTAGATATTTCTAAAAAATATCCTACATAGATTTGGTTAGGTTCCAAATTGAACGGTTATTTCCAAAAGGTTGATTTTGAAAACTATCCCATATTTTGTTCTCATTGTAGGATGCACGGCCATGGTTTGCGTGAATGCTTTAAATAACACCCGCACCTTAAGAGGGAAAAAGAAATTGCTAGGCTTTCTAAAGTGCAAGCGGGTACTTCCATTGATTATGCCAATGGTATTTTAAATCAGATAGTGGTGGATGGTAAAGGTTAAATGAACCAAGGTATTGAATTGGTTCTTCCTTTGCCTGATTCCTTTTAGGCCGATCCTCCCTCTTCTTTTGGTGGCTATTTTCTTAGTGGTCAAACCATGGAACCAATTATGGATACTATATATGTTCCGTCTATTGGGGAGAAATATATTTTACCTAATAATTCCATAAGCATACCAAATCCGTCTACCTCTTCTATTCCTTCTGATTCCCAACAAGCTCTATCTCTATTGGTTATTTCTAATATTAATACTAAATGTTTTAATCCTCCTCAATCAATAATTATGAATGAGCATGTTAATGATCTAATTTTTGAAAGAGCTATTTCCTTATTGCTTGACGATGAATTTCCCCAATATGAGATCCCCCCAATTGTCCAAACCGTGAGTATGAAGGAATTTTGTGGAGGCGTTGAGAGGAATGTTTCTACCGTGGAGGATGGTGTTTTTTATGTGGAAGGAGAGCTATCTCTTGCTAAGGGGACTTCATGTAATTTAAATGATAACAAGCTTCCTTTACCTGATCAATACCTTTGTGATGCTTTTACTAATAATAAGGTGGATATTTTGGCTAAATGATATGCTAGAGAATATCATGATTTGAGCTTCTCCAAGGGTCGTGGTAAAATAGGTAGAAAACCCAAAAATGTTGTCTTACATTCCATTAGAAGCCCACGTTCACATACTTCTCATTAATTTGTTTTGTTTATGTTTAAAACCATTAATTGGAATGTCTGGGTTATTGGTTGCCCTTCTTCTAGAGTTAGAGTTAAAAATTTATGTCGTATTCATAATGTGTCTATTCTTGTCTTTCTTGAGCCTCTTATTTTTGTGGATAAATTACTTGGTGTTGCTAAATTTCTGGTTTTAAAAATGCTAAATTGAATGTTGCCAATAAAATTTTGGTTTTTTTGAAAGATTATGTTTTTTTTTTTAAAAAAAAATGCTAAATAGAAATTAAAGACGAAAAGGAAAACAATTACAAGCTGTTATGTGATAGATATCCTATCACATTCCTCCTTTAAAAAAGAAAAAAAAGAAGGAGGAACCTTAATGTTACTAAGATCTTCCCAAAGAAAATCTTCAAGTAGAGCAAAGTTAGCACAATTGTGTGCTAACTTATTACAATTTCTATTAGTAAAGTGGAAAAGAATGATACCAAATCCATCCAAAATGAAAGATCTTCAATCTCCTCTTTGTACAGCAGCCGAGAGTCTTTATTAAAAGATTTTTGTAGAAGTTTGATAATGTTGAAATTATCACCTTCTATTATAAGACCCTTCGCATCCAACATCCACTTGTAGATGAAATTCTTCAATGAACGAATGGCCATAAGTTCCAAAGTGCCATTATCCTAGTGCATGCATTTGATTCCAAAAGCGAGTAAGAATCTTCCTTTAGAATCTCTAAAAACACCACCTATACCTCCATTGTAGTTATTAGTTAATGCTGCATCAAGATTTACCTTAATCCATTCTGGGGGAGGGGGATGCCAAATATAGTTCATCCTTGAAGGCTGGTTAGTATCCCAGTGATCCATGAATAGATTTGAAGAAGTAATTGATGCATAACTAATAGCATTGCCGGCAATAAAGTTCGAATTCCAATCATTCTTTCCATGTTTGATTGAATTCCTACTCTTCCATGAAAAATAAACTAGAGAGTAGTATAAATTTGCCAGAGATCTATTATGAACAGATAATTTCTCCAAATGATACTTACAATCTTTTGTAGAGCAAAACAACGGGCATGTAAATCCCCATTTATTGAGAATTCCTATAACTTGCTGCAGTTTATGGCAATGAACCATGATATGGTAAGTGTCTTCACGTTCCTCACAGCCTCTTGGACATGAATTATGTCCCAGTATTCTACAATTCATTAGGAAATCATTGGTTGGAATAGCCTCATTGAGCAGCCTCCACCAAAAACATTCAATTCTAGGATTGAGCTTTAATTTTTTAAGCCATATACCATATTCAACTGAACTGATATCATTAGAATTATAAGCTGCAGCGATTGCCGTAATGCTTTTCCCCGAGAATTTATTCTTCAGTTCAATGCTATCTTTTGGAAGCGAAGAATCAATTTCAATTTGATTAATTGTTTTCACCAGCTCTATTCCAAAATGTTTATTCAACATATCAACTTTCCAACATCCACCCGAAATAAATTCCTCCAATTTCGGGAATTCTGAATTCTCTGTGGATACAAAAGTAGGCCATTGTTTTAAACTCCTATCAAGAATCTAAGCATCTTCAAGAATGTCTATAGTCTCTCCTGCAGCAATTTTCCATCTTGTGATATTTCTGAGAGATTGAGCTCCTTCAGCCAGAATTTTCCATGTGACCGATTTATAAGCTGTGTTGGAATTCATCCAGAATTTGGGACCATATTTAGCTTTCAACGATTTGTATAGCAATGAGTCTTCTTCTTTTAAGAAATTCCAAGCAAATTTTGCTCTTAGAGGACCAGTTATATCACTCACTTATTTTATACCTAGACCTCCTTCTTTCCAAGGTCTGCACATCTTTTCCCATGAGATATAATGAAGTCCATGAAGACCTCCTTGTTTATCCCAAATAAAGTTTCTAGTAGCTTTTTCAATTTTATGAAGGATCCTTTTTGGTATTAAAGTGTGCGTTGCTACAAAAATAGGTAGTGCTGCTAAAACATACTTGGTGAGAACGATTCTCCTAGGTAATGATATCATATTTTTTCCCCACACGTTAAGTCTAGAATTAACCTTTTCCAGGATATAATTAAAATCAGATGCAAGAAGCCTTCTAAGAGCCAATTTGATGCCCAGATAAAACACCTCTTTCACCATTTTGAATCCCCATAATTTTGTTATAGACTTTCTCGTTCTATTTATAACAGAATTTTTGAAAACTATAACAGATTTTTGGTTATTTATGCGCTGGCCAGTTCTCTTATAGAAATCTGAGATAATCTTCTTAAATTTTCTCATACTATCCATGTTAGCTTGGGAGAACAACAAGATATCATCAGCATATAAAAGATGAGACACCCTGGGTGCATTTGCTGAAATTTTGATCCCCAAGTTCTTTCCCTTGTGCCATATATCATTGGATAATAATTGAGTGCAAAGGATAAACAAATAAGGGGATAGTAGACAACCTTGTCTAAATCCACTATAAGCTTTAATACCTTTGGAGATTTTTCCATTAATCATCAAAAAGAATTCAGGAAATTCAACACATTCCATAATGAGATTTAAAATTTTTGAAGGAAATCTCAATTCTTTTAAAATAAATCTCAATGTGTTCCAAGCCATACTATCATAGGCTTGTTCCATGTCAAGCTTAATAGCCATCCAACCTACTTTAGATTTAGAAATCTTAAGCTTATTAAACAATTCTTGGGCTAAAAGAATGTGGTTAGATAATGATATACCTTTTAAAAATGCCATTTGTTCCTCCGAGAAAAGATTGCCCATCACCTTCATGATTCTATTTAGGATCATTTTGGCTATAATCTTATATAATGTACCACATATGCTAATTGGCCAAAAACTAGATGGAGAAGTTGGATTCGGTACCTTGGGGATGAGAGTAACCAAGGTCTGTTTCCCACTAGAGCAAATACGTTTAGTAACAAAAGCTTGCTGAATTTCTTTCCAAACGCATTACCGGTTATATACCAGTAATGTTTGAAGAAAGAATAAGTAGTGCCATCCAATCCAGGAGAGATGTTAGAGCCACTTTCTTTGATAACTGCAGTCAATTCTGAATAGGAGAAAGCTTCTTCTAATAATTTTCATTCAGCTGCTGAAATAGAATTAAAAAATGGAGGCCATCCTTCCACGTAGCCATTTCTTTTCTTCCATTTGTTGTTAAAGAAATTCAACAGAATTTCCTCAATTTCTGCTTGGTTCTCAACTAGATTTCCTTCATCATTTTTCAACTGGTGAATAAGATTTCCCATTCGTCTACCATTAGCAAAGGATTGGAAAAATCTTGAATTAGTATCATTATCTTGAATCCATTTCAGCTTAGTTCTTTGCCTCCACCAGGTGCTTAACCGTGCTAAGTTCAAGTTGAATTCATGAATTTTTATCTCAGCAGAATAAGTTTCTCTGGCTCCATTCCATTCCCATTCGCTTCTTCTAATTGAATGTCAGCAATTTCAATTTTCAAACGTTCAATGCTATCTTTAAAATTTTTTAACTTTTGTCTACTACAGTAATAAAGAGCCTTTAAATACCTCTTGCACTTAACATTAATAATATCCATATCATTCCCTTTGACCGGTTTGTTCCAAGATTTTAAGACAATACCTTTGGAGGCTGGAAAAGAAGCCCAGACTTCTTCAAATTTAATCTGCTTGGTATGAAATAACTTATCCTGAATGATTTTAATGATTAAAGGACAATGATCAGAGGCAATTCTAGGTAAATGTCTTACCACAGCATTCTGAATCATGTTAAGAGCCTTGGAGTTCAAAAGACACCTGTCTAATCTCTCAAGAATACGCGCATTTTCACTTTTGTTATTACACCATGTAAATTTGGGACCTATGATTCCCACATCATGGAGGTCATTTCTTGCCATAAAAGCTGCCATCTCTTGGGGACCTTGAGAAAAAGAGAACTTCTTTCCACCTCTCTTTTCTTCTTGAGAAAGTATACAATTGAAATCCCCTCCTATTATCATAGGGATATTTGTACTATTGTTTTCTTCAAGATCTTCCCAAAGTTTTCTTCTTAGAAATGCATTTTTGTTACCATAAATAGTAGAAATCAACCAATTACTATTATTAAAGAGACATAATTCCCCAATCACACATTGAGAAGAAGCTTTGATCAAAGAAAACTTTGCAATATTGGCTTTCCAAAAAACCATAATTCCACCAGATGCACCAACCGAGGGTAGAAGAAAATAATCCCAATCATCCCCTAAACATTTGTTCACTTCATACCTTTCAAAGGAAGAAATTTTGGTTTCCACCACTCCAACAAAAAAAACATCCTAGCTTTTAACAAAATCATTTAAGTAAAGGGATGCTTCCCTTTTATTAGCCCCCCTACAATTCCAAAATGCAAGCGAAGTCATTTAGATAAAGTTGGGGAAGGACCCCCACATTTACCTTTAGGACATGTTTCAGCTTTTTTTGATCTGGTAGTATTACTCAAAGGCCCCAAATGTTTAAGTTCTTTTAATAACTTCTATTTTTTAGCTGAAGGAACAGATTTTACCAATTTCACATTTATTACAGAATTCTGGATAGCATCAATTTGTTTTCTTTCTTAATAGAATTCTTCCAGTCAACTTGAGCCACCTCATTAACAGCAATTCTTTAGTTTTCAGATAGTTCACCTTTTTCGTTATCCACCAAATCAACATGCTTCCCTTGTTCGTCAACTATAAGAAGTAAATTGAACAAATTTATGTTGTCCACAGAAACTACTTCTGCAGAACAATCCTCTGTTGTTAACACCTTTTTGTTTAAAGTAATATGGCTACTTTCTATTCCAATATTAGAATCAGAAATTATAAGATCATTAGATTGCTAGGGAGTACTTGAGTTCGCAGATAATTCCAACGGATTTATCTGAGTTCACAAGCAACCCAACCCATGATTACTGGAACCATTCTTCTGTAAGCTATTCCGATCAGAGCAGAAATTACTGCTGAAATTCAGATTACTCTGATCCACTGTAACAAAGCTTTTTTCCATATTATCAGGAGCTCCTTTCTCTGGGTTGTCAAATTCTTCTTCTATAATATTAGTCTTCTCTTGTAGAATCCTTGGGATGTCCTGGTTAGAGGTTTTAACCAAGTCTTCTTTCAAGATATTATGAACTTCTTGTTCTACACAAAAAGGATTCCTTGATTTTTCCAAATATCTTGTAGAATGATTATTAATCAACTTGCTACCCGGCTTTTCCTTCCACCTCTTCTTATTATTGACCATTATCCATGGTCCATAATTAGTCTCTTTCAACACCTCTTGCTCTTTACCATTATCATTTCTGCTATTGCTGTCTATAGCAACCTTCATGACTTTTGGATTATTAATCTTCAGCTCACAATCATTTTCCATGTGCCCAATTTTCCAACAACCAAAGCATAGATTGGAGACCTTTTCATATTCCACCGGTTGGAAGAATCTTCCAGAAATGCTGTCCACCCAAACACCTAGTGGAAGAGGTTGATCCAGACTGATTCTTACACAAATTCTTGCGAATTCTCTTCTTCCCCACTGAAACATATTACCATCCAGCATAAGGGGTTTCCCAATCCTTGAGGCTATACATGCTATATTTTACTCATCCAACATTGTAATGGTAATTGATGCATTCTAATCCAAATTGGAGAAGACAGCCCTTTATTGGAATTGGTTGAAAATTCAGGTGTCCATTTTTCCATACCTATTATATGCTCATTAACGAACCAAGGCCACCTGCAAGAACTGTTTCTGACATTTGTACTGATGAAAATGAGCATAAAAACCATCCTTTACCCAATGTGGTAAAGTGAAATTGCCCAAATTGGTTCCATTGTCTTCTAAGCTCCCAAGCGACCTTGTATGAAGGTAAATCTCTTCCAAAGACTTTAATAACCAATGATTTAGATAATTTCTTAGAATTTATATCTTCCATTTCCTGTATTAACTTTACTGCTATCCCATCTTCGGAAATAACCACCTCCTTTTCATTGAAATCCAAATTTAGGTATGGTTTTTTACTCCAAGGATTAGCAGATACATTGCCTCCAGCTTTCTTAGGCAATTCGCTAATCAACATAGTTCCATCCGTTTCCATAGATGAATCCAGATCAGTATGAAAGTTCTTATTAACCTGATTTCGGGAACTTTTATTTATCGCACTGCGACAGAGTCCAGGGATTGCATTCGAGTTTCCAAACCGGTTAACAAATAATTTCATTCCTGACGTAGAAGTGTTCAAATCGGAACAAAATCCAAAATATTTTGAATTTGGAGTAAAAAGATCTACAGTTTCGGCCACAGCTTTTCCTTTGCCTTCAACATGCTTGACAACATTAGGGGATTGTTCTGATACCTCCTTAATCACCAAAGCTCCATTCCTTTTCAAAGACGGAATATGAGAATCCATTTTGGCTACAGCTTTTCCTTTGCCTTCAACAGGCTTGATAACATTAAGGGAATGTTCTTGTACTTCCTTTATCACCAAAGCTCCATTCCGTTTCAAAGACGGAATATGAGAATCTAGCTTAGAATTATAATTCGTCAAATCATTTTTAAGAGATTTTAGATCAGAATTACCTGTATCATAAAAAATTGCTTGAATTTGCACATCTACTTCTTTAATCGATTTCTAGACATGCCGATTATTGATCGTCTCCAATAACTCCTTACTATGCTCCGTTGAATCTTTGCTCCCGATCTTCAAACAATCGTCGGCTGAAAGCCGGCGATCATCCACCGCCATTAGCGGCCGTGAAAGTTGCTACGAAACAAAATTTTTTAAAAATTTCTCACTCTAAAAAAATGGCCGTGGAATATTTTGAATGTTGTACTTGATTATGTTAGAATTAATATTATTGGGGATTTTACCCAAGTCTTGCATTGTAATATTGCGAGTGCAAATTTCCAATGTTTTGCTTCTTTCATTTATGCTGCTTTTTCTCGTTATACTTGAAGGATTTTATGGGATCAAATTATGCAATTCTATAGTATTTACAATCTTCCTTGGCTTGTTGGTGGTGATTTTAATACTATTTCAAACCCCACTGAGCATATTTGGGGTTCCCTTCCCATATATCAGTCGATGGAGGATTTCAATGATATGATTATGGATTACAACCTTATCGATATTGGTTTTTCCGCAATAGTTTTACTTTGCATCATGGTCATTTGTGGCAAAGGCTTGACAGAGTTTTATTCAATAATGCTTGGCTTAATTCTTTCGAGTTTACTAAGGTTGACCATCTTAGCCGCACCCTCTCTGATCACTCTCCTCTTCTTGTTCATATTAAGGAAAGAGCTAGTGATTTCCCATCTCAATTTAGATTTCAAAACATGTGGTTGGTTCATGATTTGTTTATTGATGTGGTCCAGAATAATTGGCAGGCCCCTCTTTTTATTGATGATTCTATTTTTGGTATGAATAGACTTTGGCTTAAACTTAAATGGTTGAAGAAAGTTTTGAACTGGTGGAATCATAATATTTTTAAAGATCTATTTTCTAATATTTTAAATGTGGAAGATAGGGTGAACTCTACTGAGGATCTTTGTTAGTTAGATCCCTCTGGCCCCAACCCTATCTTTTGAAAGAGGATAAAGTTGAGCTGTTTAATCTTCATGCTCAGGAAGAAACTTTTTGGAAGCAAAAAGTGGCTGTCAAGCATCTGGCTAAAGGTGATAATAATACTAAGTACTTCCATGCTTTGGTTAACAAGAAATGGTCTATTAATTGTATTCATAAAATTTCTCGTAAGGATGGCTCTGTTTCTGAGGATATTACTGAAATTATTAATTTGGCTGTTAATTATTTTCAAAACCATCTTAATAAAACATTTACTCCATCTATTATCACCAATCCTTCTATTATCCCTAATATTATTTCTCTTAAGGATATGAGTGGCTTATTTATATCTCCTTCTCTTGAGGAGGTTAAAGATATTCTTTTTGATATGAATGTGGATTCCGTGGCTTGCTTGGATTGTTTTACTACTAAGTTCTTTCAGAAAACATGGCCTATTACTTATATGGATATTTACTCTACTGTCACTGGTTTTTTTAATGGTAATCCTTTTCCTAAGTTTTTTTCCTCTACTGTTATTGTACTTATTCCCAAGAACAATGCTGTGAATTCCTGGAATGATTTTAGACCTATTAGTTTATGTACTATTTTTTATAAATGCTTTCTAAAATTTTGATAAATAGGTTAACTGGTTTATTGCCTAAGCTTATTTCTCCTTTTCAAATGGGTTTTATCAAAGGCCGTGCCATTTCCAATAGTATTCTTTTGGCGTAAGAATTTTTTTAAGACTTGGATGTCAAGGTTAGAGGTGGTAATATGATTATAAAATTGGATATTGCTAAGGCTTATGATAATTTTAATTGGACTTTTATTTACAACATCATGAGTTTATTTGATTTTGATTATAATTTCATCTCCCTCATTAAGACTTGTATTAAAAGCCCTTTTTATTCCATTATTGTGAATGGTAAGAGTCATGGTTTTTTTAAGGCTTCTCATGGGCTTAGGCAAGGGGATCATATTTCCCTTGCGCTCTTTATTATTACTGTTGATTACCTTTCTAGGGGCCTTATGGATCTTTTTGATAAATACCCTAGTCTCTATTTCAGAACATTAGGTGGCATTAAAATCTTTCATTTATTTTTTGTTGATGATTACATTGTGTTTTTGAATGCTTTGATGAATAGGATTAATAAAATTGTGAGTTTATGTGACCAGTTTGAGTCGGTTAGTGGTTTGGCTTTTAATAAGCATAAGTTTTGTTTTATCTCGGCTAAAAATATTCCTTATGATCGTATTATGGCTATTAAGAATCTTAGTGGCTTTACTCAAAGTTTTTTGCCTTTAAAAAACCTTGGTATTCATCTCTATAAGGGT